TATTAAGGGAGATAGAACAAAACATATAACCCCAAAACTATTCTTCACACATGATCCCCAAAAAGATGGGGAAATAGATATCCAGCAAATTCAGTCTTATGACAACCTTGCCGACTTGTTCACCAAATCACTTCCTTCCAAGAAATTTGAGCAATTAGTTCACAAAATTGGAATGCGACATCTTCGTGCATTATGCTGAAATCAGGGGGAGCATTATATGCACTGCACTCTTTTTTCCTTTGATCAGGTTTTTATCCCAATGGGTTTTTCCTGACAAGGTTTTTAACGAGGCAGTATATCAAAGTATATAATATTTTTCTTTAAGGCAACCCATACCCTATTTCATGTGAACATTCAAGGGGGAGTGTTGAGAAAATGCCAAAAATGAAGTTCACATGAACTTATAACACAATAATTTGTAGCTCATCACATGAACAAATTTAGGACAATAATTTGCATAAAAGTACAATTATGTAAAATATTTTAATGACAATATTTGCCTATAAATAAGTTCACTGTTTTGTGAACTAAAGAAGTAAGAAGAAAAACAATCGGATTTCCTACTTGCTCTATTTACTCCCTTCTATCTCCATTTTCATGAAATATCCAATATCATTTTATAGTTAAAAAAAAACTTTCATTTTTAATACAAAACAATTTTCTCCTTGATTTAAGGAATTGATTTGTTACTATATTCAAAATTATAGAGAGATACAATTGGCAAATTTGTTATTTGAAATAAAAGCCACAGACGTAGTATTATCACATTAACGTTTCAGTTCCTCTTTCTCACTTCCACGTTCTTTTTTGTTTGTTTTTTATTTTTCTTTTTTTTTGTTGTATACTTATGTTCCTCTTTCTAGTTTCTCCCTCATTGACTCATTCAACTCCTTGTCTGTCTACTTTTTTTTTAAAATTAAAAAAAAAATCTTTATCTCTTTTTAAATTTAAGATTGTTTAGATCAAATTCGAGGGTTTGTTGAATTGTTGCGTCAATTGGGTTTGCTTAAAATTTTTTGTGCTTTCTTTTTCTTAATTATTGTTCTGTTGTTTAGAAGTACAAATACTCGTCATATGGGAAGAACTGCAAAGAAACAAGAATCAACTTCTAGCTCTAGTAATGCACCTGCAATACAGTGACGTATCGAGGAATTCCGAACTGTGGGTTCGGAATCTTAAAAAACAAACGATGCTCATATATTAATTAAATATTCAATATATAAGTTCAAATTTTTTATTACAAATGGATGGATTAAATAGTTATAAAATAATAAATAAATAAAAACCTACAAAAGCATTCTTCGAGTTTTATACTTTGAAAGCGTGCTAAAACATTACTACTTCTATAAATGATAAATCTATAATTATATTGCAAAAAATCAATATTACACGAAAATTCGAAAAACAAAAATCCCAAGTCCCCAATAAACACAAATTTGATAATGAATTTTTTTTCTAATTATCAATTAAAAGACCAAGTAAAAATTTTAAATTCTAAGTTTCTAAATTCAATTTGTACGTCAACAATATATCAAAACTAATTAAACAAATCAATAATTAATCTAATTATCACTAATTTACAAACAAATAATGATTTAAGAACTAAGAGGAGTAGAGGAATAAGAGGACCGTTGAAACTAATACATACTAAAGTATAAAAGCAATAATAATATTAGATAAGTATGAAGCAAGTAAAATAAAGAACTCATAATATTTCTTCATGCTTACTTCACCAAATACAAGAGCCATATATGTAGGCTAACAAACAACAAATAATAAGCTAAAAAAACTGAAAGTATAATGCCATGTTTAACCCATAAACCCACTAAATAAACTCATTAACTTCTAAATTCATTTAACTCTCTAACTTAACAAAATGACCAACATACTACTCCTAAAATTATTGACCCAACTATGGACTAACTCATGAAGAACAACGGAAGAAATCGAAAGGGGGGAAAAAAAAAACAAAAAAATGAGGGTGGTTGGTCTCAAACCCATGATCAAGAGGAGCCTATTAGTCACTCCCTTACCAATGTGCCAGAGTTACATATTTGTTTATTTACTTCACAAAAATTTGCTTTAACCTTATTTTTTTTCTTTTTTTAAAAAAAAATCAAAACTTATAATTTTTTTTTCAAAAAATCTGGGGGTTCAATGAACCCCCTTGAACCCCCTAGATCCGCCCATGCTGCAATATCTGATATATTCAAGGGGTTAAATAGGAAAAAAATTGAAAATATCGAATATTTGGGTTTCTACGTGAGGTTTACTGCCTCAATTAGTCAATAGGAATGGAACAAAGATCTAAGCCATTTTCTAAAGCTTATTTTAGTTTAATTTAATATTGATTAGATTAACTTGAATATCCTGTTGAACTTGAAATTTATCACTTTAAAGATCATTTTCCTGATCTGATTCATTGTTCAACTTCTCATTAGAACAAAGAATTGTAAATTTCTAGTTCATATATATTCTTGTGTTAGAATGTGATGAGTATTAGAAGCTGCATTTTGAAAAAGGAATATAAGTATTAATTGGAGGGGTTGGTTAGTAAAGTAACATAATATGGTTAGTAATTACTGTAAGTGTTTAATGATGTATTAGCCATGAAATTTGCTTAACAAGGTCATTAGGTGTATTATTAAAAAGTAGGGTGTCACTTTGTGGAACAAAAGTTTTGTCATGCCCCCATATAGAATTTTAGAAACTCGAGGAATATCATATAGAATTTCCCTAATTATAAATTATCAAATTGGTTATTGGTGTAGTGGTGATTGGGCCGCACTTGGTAGGGAGGACCTCGTGTTTGTTCCCCCGAAACATTAATAACTACCCATAATTGAGTATTAAATTTGGATTAACCCAAAGTGTGAAGGTGGAACACCAAAAAAAAAAAATACAAAGTACTCCCTCTTTACCAATAACCACCTTTATACGATGGTAAAAAGATAATTAGGACCACATGATGTCTTGATCCATGATTGTACCATAGTCAACAAGCAAATCATATTAATTTACTTGTATAATGAGGCAAGATCCTTGACAAGACATTTCTAACGTAACAAGACCGTTGTGTATTTGTACTTCTTACAAAATGTAAAATGAAACAAGTCAATGGAAAAGTAACGATTTTTTACTTAAAAAAAAGAAACTTTGTGACCAATCTATTCTAAAAATGGAAATTGTTGTTGGTATCTTTACCTTTTTTTTAACAAAGGAAATGAACATTATATTACAACTAGATGATTAAAAGACATTTAGGAAAATCCAAGTTTGTGACCAAAAGACGACCATTATGATGCTGGACTTGCTAAAAAATACAACCATGAAGCCTACCCCATCCGTAGTTTGCATAGAAATAAAAACAAGAACAAAGATAAAACTAGAAAGTATCTTATATACGATAACTAACATTATATCTTATATGAGGAGCTTATTCAATATTCAGATTTTCGTAATATTTAATGAATAATAATGCCTTCTTTTTTTAATAACTTCTCCGTTAACACATTTTACACTATTTATTTGACCTATTTTGACTAATATTTGTGATTTTTATATAAGAAAAAAATATGATTTTGTGGGTAATTGTTGGAATCGTATCAAAAAATGGATTATTGATTTTTAGTTGTTATAATTTATACTTATTGATAATTAAAGATATCAATAGTTAAATATTTGCATCGGTATATGTGCTCAGGAGAAATAGAACACTTATTAAAAATTGAAAAGAGTATTTTATTGATAATCTATCTTAATTTTCCAAAATACTCCCTCTATTTTTTTATTGCAACAATTCTTTAAATAGAAATACTCTACACTATTTTATTATATCTCACATCTCACATGATTATGTGCTAAATTTGATAGTAGTTGATAGGATTTTTTGAAAATAACCACCTACTATTGTTGTCGTTTTAGTAATAACCACCAAATTTTTTTTATTGTATTTTACCACCTACTATATTAAAAAACATGAAAAATTCCCACCAGATTTGCCCAAAGCCTCTTACATGACGTCATTGTGGGCCCCACCGACTGATTTTTTTCAATTTTATTCCTTATCTAACCTTGTTCTTCGATTTCTGAATTGCAAATCTAAATTATGCAAACAAACCACTAAATTAGGTACCTAATTTACAAAATTGGGGCTAATTATAAGATGGTGTTCAGATTTAGGGTTTTAAAATGAAATTAGGAGTTTGTTATTTAGTGATTAATTTATAAAATTGGGACTAGCTTGCATCGATTTCACGTATTATATCTTCAATTAGTACCGAAATTGATATTATTGTTTAGAAATTATTACTAATCATTGTAATGAAAAATTAGGGTTCATATTTAGGGGATATTTTAAAATCAATCGTTTTTCTAAATTATGATTTACAATCCCGAATTGAGCATATATATTTGTTCAATATAGAGTTAATCAATGTAAATAATGCTTAATTTAAAAATTTATCTCAGTTTGAAAAATTCCCCAAATTTGGGATAAACCCTAAATGAAAAAAATAAATAAATTATAATTGACACATATAAGTGACTTAATTATGTTCGTGTGAGCTTGAATTATGTTAAATCGACTACTAAATGCTTTTCTCTAATCCAATTTTAATTTATATTGAAAAAAAAACAATTGAGCATGAGAATCGAGGGAGTTGAAGGCATGATGATATCATATATGAGAGCTTGGGCAATCTAGTGGGAAATTTTCATGTTTTTAAAAATCATATGTGGTAAAATACAAAAAAAAAAAAAAAAAAAAAAAACTGTTGGTGATTATTACTAAAACGACAACAATAGTAGATGGTTATTTACAAAAAAAAAATCCTACTATCAACATTTGTATATGTGCTAAAATTTGATAGATTCAATTACAAGTTTTTAAAAATGGAGAGAAAAGTTTAATACATTTGCATGTGTGTTAAATTTGATTGTATCAATTACAAATCTTTAAAAACTGAGAAAGAAGTTTACAAGTAGTCTAAAAAGTTGTAATGTGGTATCATTATCAGCTAGAATTCAGTGAATTGAAAATTTGGGTATTGATTCTGCAACTTGATGTAATTGATTGTCGTTGTCATGATTGAACTTTTTATTTTTATTTTTATTTTTTTTCTTTCTTTGGGGAAATAACATGATTAAACTTTAAAATAAATAATTCAACTCAATTTCATTAACCCAACTCTTTTATCCGAATTGACACCTAAATATGCGTTGCGAGTGTTGCGACTTGTGAGTGCACTTTCCACAAATTAAAGACATCGATAAATCGATAATGAATTGATGATAATGTCTTTTGCCTCTTTGGGGATGCCCTACTAGCAGAGCAGTACACTTATCATACCACAAACTAAATTACAAATGCAGGTGCTCTCAATTTCAGCTTGTTGCACCATTCCTTCTTCCCCAACAACCAATGTCTCCAAATGCTTAAGTCGTAGAGACCTTTTCTTCAATGGCGTCTCCTCCGCTTATTCCCACTCTTCTTCTTCCCAAAGGTTTTTTCTTTTCTCTCATTTCCAATTTCGTCAATTTTATTGGGATTGAATTTGTTATGATTTTTGTTTGTTTTCTTGCAGAATTGATGATTGTGGTAGTAATAATTTAGTTAATGATGAAATTCGGTCCAATTTTCCCTTTTCAACTAGGCGGGCTTTGATTCGGAGTTTGGGATTTTGTTCTTGTTATTACTTTTCTACCTACTTTCCAGGTTTGTAGCTGCATTTTTATAGTGATGTCAACGTTTTTATTGTTGTTATACATTATCTGCATTAAGAATTATGGATTTTCCATTAAATTATGCATTTTATGATTATTGAAATGCGGCAATGTGAATGGGTACGCAATCTGTTGATTTTGGTTTATTGAAGTATTTTTGCTTGGGATTTTGAAACTTGTTGCCTTTTTTGTTCACCAATTTCCGCTTACTTTGGAAAAACAAAGGTTCAAATAAGGGTTAGTGCGTTGGATAAGATAAATTGAGAAAAATAAGTTCAATTTACAATTAAGAGGTTAATAAGGGTTACTGAGGTTAAGTATTCTTAGAGTTTTCATACTCTGGAAGCGTGTCAATGCATCATCACTAACTCTAGCAAAAAAGTCTCTAGAGAAAAGTGACTAAACTATCATTCAATAGTTGATCACCTATACTATTTCACAACTTGTCTTTTTACATAAGTCATTGATGAAAACACCCATTCCATGCTTGCAGTTAGGGCTGTACACGGTCCAAAACCGAACCGGACCTGACCCACTCTCCGGTCCAGACTTGAAAAATCAGGTTCGGTCCGGGGTTGGACCTGAATAGACCTGATTATTAATTTGTTCCATTTTTTTTATTTTTTAAATAAAAAACCTGTTGGGCCTGTTTATGGACCTGATATGGACATGTTTAGACTTGATATGTACTTGTTTATGGACCTATTTAGACCTAATATGGACCTGTTTGGACTTGTTTAGACCTGATATGGACCTATTAAAAAAAAAAAATAACAGTTTCACCGGTTTTAGGTTCGAATCGGACCTGAAAATTCCGGGTTTTACCCAGACCGGACTTGAAACCCGGAATCATGGATTTTAAGGACCGAGATAGGACTTGAATTCACTGGTCCGGTTCAAGTCCGATCCAAACAGGTCCATTTCAAGTCGGTTTTCAGGTACGGACCAGTTTGTGTACACCCCTACTTGCAGTAGCCACTAAAAGGATCAATGCTAGTTTTATAAGCAAGTAAACCAATTTGTAAGAAGTATGATTATTTGTTTCAACAAGCATCATAGAAAGCTCATTAATATCCTTCAAATCTCCAAACCTTGCATCGTTGAGCATGTCATCAATAAAAAAATCCAAGTTCGTGACAAAGTGCAGTCATTATCATATTAATACTTGGAATTTTTTTTTAGGATATAACTCAGCAAGTCTCTAAGATATAGAATCAGAAATGAGGTTATTTGCAAGAAAGTAGGTGTGGCTGCAGCCAAAATAAGGGAAAATCGTTTGCGTTGGTTAGGGCATGTAAGACGGAGACTCGAGGGTACACCGGTTCGAAGAGTGGAAGAGTGGGACCATGGAGGGGTTAAACGAGGGAGAGGGAGACCGAAAATGACTTGGTTGGAAGGAGGAAGGATATGAAGTATATGGATTTGCATGAGAATGAAACATTGGATCTAAGGGATGGAGGAGGAAGATTTTTGTGGATGCTTACATGGAATAATCAATTTTGGTTCATATAGCTGGCTCCACTTATGGGATTAAGGCTTTGATTGATTGATTAAACTCAGCAAGTCTCAAGTACTTTTGCTTATCGAATGCTGCAAATAAATCGACCGTATTTAAACATGTCATCCATAAATTAGAGAGAGAAAATTGATTTAGGGTTGGAAATTGGGTTGATTGGGAAGTAAATGAGAGTATGAGACCACAAAAAAAAAAAAAAGGTAAGGTTAAAGTTTTTTTTTTTTTTTTCCTTTTTTTTTTTATAAAAAAACTTATCTACGGAGTTTTTTTTTTTGAAAAAATTATTGGGTTCAATGAACCTTATTGAACCCTATGTTACTCGGACTCGGGTACTCATGTCCTACATGCGTACGTGTCCAAGTGTCTGACTCGGCTATTTTGTGAAAAATATCTATGATTTTGAACTAAAATGAAGTGTCCAAGTGTCATATCCATGTCAAGTGTCGAGGGTCCGACAAGGGTATTTGAGGTAAAATGAAGAGTCCGAGTAACATAGCTTGAACCTAGCATGGCTTTGTTTACAAGTACTTTCCATCAGTCTAACCGCTTATTTACATGTAGGATTGACACCGAAGAAGGGTTCATCCTTCCAAATGAATATTGGGAAATATAACTCTAGAATCTTTGTGAACGAAGTCTTTTCTTAACAAAATACACTAAAGATTACAGTATTGGATGTCAATAATTTAGAGAGGATAAAAAGAGAAGGAAACAATAGTAAAAAAGACGAGTTCAGAAACAAATGTAACATGGATTTAATAGCTCTCTCTGGGCATACCTCTCTCTTCTATGGATATTGCTTGTTGGAAATAACAGGGGACTCAACTTGCTGCTAAATGAGCAGAATGTTAAAAGAATCTGCTGGAAACTAAATTAGACTACTTTGGGTGTAGTAAAATTGTATGAAGAGATTGAAGGTTGCAATTTTATGTGGTGAATAGTAGAATGAGAGAATGAGGTGTGTTTGGAGAGGGGATCTTTTGATACAATGCTTGGATGATCTTCTCAAGATATGGAACTTAAATTTTTTTGTCCAAAAGGATTAAAATTATAGGAGGATTTCAAGGCTCATAATTTGGATAAATAAAGGATTCTACTGGAATTCATGTTTTGCTAAAACATGATGACATAATTTCTTCGTCTCCACCTGTTCTGCATGAGCTTCAAGATTTTGCATAGAGTGTTGATGAAACTGCCTTACAGTAGTTCTTATGTATTGAGGGAAAAGGGGCGGGTGGTGGGGTTACATTGTGCTATTAGCAAGATGTTCCTTATGGGGTGCTGCTAAAGTTGGATAGGGTCATGTATAATGGAGTTGTGTTGAGAAACCTGTTCAAAGCTCTACTGTTTTTCTGCTACCTGCTGTACCTGTTGTTTCTGATCATGCTCTTGTCTCAGTCAATTTTGTGCATCATCAGTCCCTTGAACCTATGAGGGTACTGCCTCACTAGCATAACATAGATATGTTTGCACTAACTTAGTGCTCTCACCTGAACTTGCCATTTACACAACTCTAACACAGATTTTCAAATGTTTGTGTAATTCCTGAATGTATCGTTTGTTGCAATTTTTGAGAAATGTTTTGAGATATTTTCTTTTGCTTCTAACTGCCTTGACTGCATATGGATTTACAGTATTTGCACTAGGGGATCCATCTGTCACAATTGAAGAAGTAACACCTTCAGTTTCCCCTTCTGGGCCTCTATTACCTGCTGAGGTTTGCTTTTTTTAGCAATTCAACTACTGTTTCTCTAGTTTAATTATGTTCTTAGTGGTGACTTTCCACACTTTATTTACTGAATGTTCATGGCAGGTGAATTGATATCTATGTACTTGACAGGAAAGAGTTGTTCAGCTATTCGAGAAGAATACGTACTCTGTGGTGAACATCTTTGATGTAACATTGCGTCCCCAGCTCAATATTACAGGTGTGGTTGAGGTAATTACTCTTAGCAAATATTGATATTACTCAGGGTTATGTGATTACTGATTAGTTCTATCATGTGAACATGATTAGCTGTTGCTGTTCAAAGTTTAATGTACAGTTTGATCAGTTTTCTGCTTTTTCAACTTTGGCATTTTTTGAGTCTTGACTCTCTAGTGATGCAGTTTTAACATGGTTATAATTGTTGAACAGGTTCCTGAAGGAAACGGTTCAGGAGTAGTTTGGGATGGACAGGGCCACATTGTCACAAACTATCATGGTAAGGTTTGAGAAATTATTTAGATAATTATCCAGGTTATAATTTATCCTTCCTTGTACCAGCTTCCAATGGTATATCTGAGAAAGTTAAAGGTCTTTGCCATGTTTTTTGCATAGCATGATTATACTTCCTCTGTTTTTTTATACTTGCACTACACCTTTTATCACGTTTTTTGAGGAGGTGATTAGACTAGGTAAACAAATGAATTAAGCTATGAAATTTAAACCGTAGCAATTTATCCCTTTCTTCTTATCGGTGGTAAAATTTTGTGAATTAATTTATCCGTTCACCTAGTCTAATATCTCCCTTAAAATGCTTGTTAAAGGGGTGTGTTGCAAGTAAATAAAAACGGAGTGAGTAATTTTTTTTTCCTTCTTTCTTTAAGGATGTTGTTCAATAAGAAATGAATTCATTACTATGAATATTTGTTTCTTCACCTACATCTTTTCTCACCGATTGAAAGTGAATTCATTTGATGAGCCGGAATCAGATAAAACTAAGTTATTAATGTTGAGAACTGCAAAATTTTTTGACACAAGGGTTGTCACCACTATAAGCAACAAATCAAGATTTGTGGACGAGTAAAAAGAAACTAGGTGCTGGGGCTCATTAGTTTCTAAGCTTTGTCTCTAAAGAATGGAAAATCAAAAATTTCAGGAGAAATTAATTTATGTATTTAAGAAAGAAGTTCGAGTTAATACAGGTTTTTGGGTTTGCTTTCTCACACTGATCTTCTGACACAGCTGTAATTCTAATTTACACTCTATTTTCCACTTCTTGTGATCAATGAGAATTTTATTGGATTTGTCTCTTCTAGGAAACGAACAACATTCTGCTATTGGATCACCTCCAGCCTTATGAGTCAATTGAGCTTTAGGCTGCTATTTCCAAACTATTAAGTCTAGTAAAATTGGAAAGCTGAATCCTACCGTTTTTATTTTGTACTATTTTTTTTTTGTTTTTTTTTTTTTTGTTTTTAACACTTACTATTTGCACATAATTTAGGTTTTGTCAATACAGGTACGGGGACATATACGGGTATGGGGACAAGGACGGAAAACAACAAATCTAAAATATTCAGGATATGGGTACGACAAATTTTTTTAATATAAATTTTTATTAAAAAAAATCTGGAAAAAAATGCCAAAACAAACATATGACAAATTGAAGATAAGACATTGTCTACATTCTAGCACAACAAAGTAAGAACATACTACAAACAATTTGGGCCACAGTCTAAAACAACATTTAAAATGGAAGCATCAAGTGTTGTCATCGATCAACTCATTCTCTAATTCCGGCTCATCAAATGAAAATTTCGCAAACCAATCATCACTATATTACCTACATTAAGAGTCAACCATAAATAAACATTACAAATGTATCAATAGAAATTATTTTCTAAAAACAAAAAAAGCTTGTTTATTTAAGGTTGTTTTTAAAAAAAAATTGTAATGTTTATTTATGCTTGACTCTTAATGTAGGTATTATAGTGATGGTTGGCTTCATAAGGATCCCTCTAGAGTTGCTCCTCATAGAGATGCCAAGATCTATCGTAAAAGAATGAATTGTTTTTAGAGACTTTATCTAAATGAGGATGAATTTTCGACGAGCATGCACAATTCTCTCTCGTGATGAGTCCATTTGAAGACCCAACTTCTCTTTCAAAGAGAAACTTTATAGACCATCCAAGTTGGTGGGCTAACTTTGCTGCCGACACTCCTCTTCTTCAATCTTTGGTTTTCAGCCATCTTCTTACTCTTGTTGTGAAGTGGAATTGGAGTACTTAGTCTTTCATTCACTCACTTAGGAGGAATAGGTTGAACCGTTGAATCCATGTCGTGCTGAAGATTTGGTTTTCATCCACAACAACCTCTGTCTTTTATCTAGAAATTCTGATCAATATGAGGATGAGAAGTCCAAAATGAGGGATGTTGTGCTGATCATTTTGATTCAATGGATGATGTCACTTGATGAGCCGGAATTAGAGTGAGTTGATCGATGACAATGCTTGATGTTACTAATTTAAATGTTGTTTTAGACTTTGGACTAAATTGTTTGTTGTATGTTCTTATTTTGTTGTGCTAGAATGTTGACAATGCTAAATCATTTATCATATGTTTGTTTTGATACTTTTTTTAAGGCTTTGATTGATTGATTGTTTTGGTACTTATTTTTTTTCCAGATTTATTTAATAATAATTCATAATAAAAATTTTGCCATACCCATATCCTGAAAATTTTGGATTTGCCGTTTTCCTTCCTCGTACTCGAATATGTCCCTGTACCCGTATTGGTGCAACCTAGTTGGTAAGTGTGTGGTGTGGGGCTGTGCCACTATTTAAACCTATTATGTCAAGCTGGTAGATAAATTTCTGTTTTTATTTTGTTTGATTGATAGGTGTTGTATGATTACATATTTACATCCATAAGTGAGTAGCAATAAACTTCCAAAGAAGTGTTTATGTTAATATATATAGTAGTTTATGATTGACATATATTCACTATATATATGTAGGTTTTTTCCTATTGCAATGCTGGACTGCTTTTGGTGTTTTTCCTTTTGGCTTTAAAACCATGTAGTTATATTCTTTGGCAGCTAATTAAAGCAAATCCCATGAGAGCCATAAGAAAGAAGACAAAAAGGAAAAAATAAAAAAGAAGGAAGATATATAATAATGTTTACTTTTGTGGTGATATCCAGTGATAGGTAACTCGCTTTCAAAAAATCCTAGCCCAGGAGATGTTGTTGCACGTATTAATGTCTTAGCTTCTGATGGGTAAAATTACTTATACCCACTTTTACCATAAAACCAACTTTTTTTTTTTTTTTTTTTTTTCTAATAATTTATCTATAGTAGAATGACTGAATTACGTGGTTCTTTATGTGGATGACCTTCTTTCAGGGTTCAAAAGAGCTTTGAGGGTAGGTTGATTGGAGTTGATCGTGCAAAGGATCTTGCTGTCTTGAAGGTTTACTCTTTTGATACAATGATAATTAGCTTTCTTTTAATCTTATATTTCATCTAACACCATGTGTTAATTGGTTTTTTATTTTTTATTTTTTTTATTTTTTTTTTGCCAATTGTATGTTGTGATTATGCTGCCAGTAATTGTCACTAGTAATCTTCTTATGTGGAATATAGTTAGTTTCTTTTGCATATATCATGAAGTCTCCACCTGTTTAAAACCTTTTTTTTTTTTTTTTTCAAAAGTTTAAATTATTATTCCATATACTCTACATTATGTACTAGGCTACTAGCTATTGTATATTTAGTGTAAATTGAATTTTGGTAGTTCATTGATCAAGGCCCGTTTGGAGATCTTGATATGAAATAACCATGGAATGAGGGGAAAATCAACTAACAATAATTTCAATGCAACAATATAAGATAAACCTGTTAGGTTTCGTAGTGTCCGACACAACGCGGAATGAAACCCTCCCAAAATCCGCACACAAATTAAAGTAACTAAACATGCATATTAATTAATTAACAATCACATAATTAATTAACAAGGAGAGAGAAAGAAGAAAAGGCGATCTTACCCTTGATGCGTGCTTCGCTCTTTCTAAGAGCTTGTACTTGAAAGCGTAAAGCTTCGCAAATGCGCAAGCCTCCGACGGCTCTCACCCTCGAGACCTGACCGGAACAGCCCCTACCCCGAAGCCGGGGCTAGACCAAAAGAACTTAGAGTATTAGAATTAAGGTATCCTCTTCTTGGAGATCCCTTAAAGTTCACAACTCAAGTGTCCCTTCCCAATGCCAAATGATTGGTATTTATAGGGAAGGGAGCCCTTGAATTCCAATCTCCCATCAATGTGGGAGAGTTAGTAAAATGCATTTTATTCAATTTAATTTAATTCAAAAATCAAATTGAAATGCAAGTGAATCAACAAACGACAAGTGTCAAGTGGTGAGCAAGGGTTAGGTGAGGACCATAAGGGGGAGAGCACCCTCCCCTTGCTCCCCAAGCAAACCCACACACACATGCTCTCACACGCACAACCAACCACACGCAAGAGCTGCCACTTGCATAAGCTGCTGGCTGGCATTGGCGCAAGGCCTAACACGCATAGGCCACCTTGCGTGCTGGGCCTTGGGCTGTGCAGCACAGCCAGCACACGCACAGGCAGCTTGCGTGTTGGGCCTTGCTGCTCGCATGGCCTAGCCATGCAAGCTAGGCCCTCGCTGCCCCATAAGGGAGCTGCTGCCACGCCCCTGCTAGCCCAGCCATGCGTGCGGCTAGGTGCACCAGCTCCGCAAGCATGCTCGGCCAGCAAGCCTAGCACGCGCATGCATGCTTGGCTTGCGGCACACCCATGCATTGCGGTTGGTGCCCTATGCTAGCCTAGCCTTCGCATGGCTAGGCCAATGCGAAGCTACGACTTAGCTCAAACTTGTCGTTTGCTTGATTTCTTGTCTTGTCGAATTCTAAATTCGACTTGATTTACGACGCTCGGTTTCGACGCTCTAAGCTCGATATCCGACGTATTTGTTCGTAATACTCTAATGACTCATTTAATCCTTCGAATTAATTCGTCGTTTCGATTCGGTTACTCGATAAGGGGTCAGTCAAGATTAAGCTGTAATATTAATTGTGCATGATCGGAAGCGGCCTCCAACTAGGCATTCCGATCACTTGACCTCACTGAATAATTAGCTTTCTAATAATTCCAAATCCTCTATCGGAATAATACAATTGTTCGAAGCACACCATTCCTTTCAAAACCTATCTAAAAAATCACCATGATCTATGAAATAGGGGTTCTTAGTCAAAGCCAACACCAATTAAAGTTAGGATTAAGATATAACCACAAAAATAACAAAGTAGCAATCATAGAGATAGCAAATACTTCCTCTATTCTAGTAATATTGCAACAATTGGACTTTTACACTATTCATCACGCTTGTTTGACTGCATATTATGATTTATACGTAAAGTAAAATATAGTCATGTGGGGTCTTGTTAGATTCGTCTCGTAAAATACTTTCACAATATCAATTTTTTTGTAATTTTTACTCTAATATAATTATAGATATTTAGCATATAAAATGTGCTTTGGGATGCGTAATTTTATACTTGTTGCAATATTTGTGGAACAGAGGAATTAATCACTAAAATTAAGGAGAGAGAAAAGTCTCATTGATTTCAAAATTAAGCAAAGATGTTCTCAAAAGCAAGCTTAACCCTATTTAAAGGTTTTATAAACAAACCTAGAATCTTAAAATTACACCCTTTGGATTACAAATGAAAAACCAAGATTAAAAGCAAGAAAAACAACCAAAGAAAGAACAAAAACCGCTACAGAATAGGGGCTCTAGAGCAGTCGCTCCAAAGCTTTCGTCAAAATTCCCAAGTCTAGATGTAGCGGTCAGCGGTCGCTCGAGCGGTTCTGCCTGCTGGATCTCAAACACTCATAACTTATTTGTTTCTAGCTCAAATTGGGCATATGACCCGTCGTTGGAAAGCTCTCGGACTCTACTTTCATTTCCAATTTGAATCCCACTTGAAAATTCCTTGTAATGAAGATGATATGGCTGATTGAAATTGAGTAATACATTGACAAGTTTTCTCTCTTGGCTTACACATGGAATCCTTTGAGCTTTATGCTAAGCAAACAAAATGTTACTCGAGTATAATGATGGTGACCACCAAGGAGTTTAGCGCGGCTACATGTCACAACACGTGACACTTCTTCAACTTCCTCCACCAAGTTTCATGCACGCGCATCAGATGTCTAGCTCAATAATAGACATAGACATAACCCTGATTGGAATCCTGAATAGAATTGTTACCAAGTCTTGGTAACATAACCCTCAATTTATCTCATTTTTTGTAATTTAATTGTAAATAATACGTCCTCTTCTCCTTATAATTGCAACAATTTGTTTTTGCACTATTCATGCACTAAATTTAACCATATATTTTACTTATTGTTCAAACAAATGTTATTAAGTAATTTGTTTCAGGATTAATCTTAAAGTAAATTCTCTAAATGTCAGCTTTTATTAATATGATTAAAGATATTATTAGCTTAATAATAGACATAGACATAACCCTGAATGGAATCCTGAATAGAATTGTTACCAAGTCTTGGTAACATAACCCTCAATTTATCTCATTTTTTGTAATTTAATTGTAAATAATACGTCCTCTTCTCCTTGTAATTGCAACAATTTGTTTTTGCACTATTCATGCACTAAATTTAACCATATATTTTACTTATTGTTCAAACAAATGTTATTAAGTAATTTGTTTCAGGATTAATCTTAAAGTAAATTCTCTAAATGTCAGCTTTTATTAATATGATTAAAGATATTACTAGTCGTTGCAAAACATGGAAGTCAAACTTTTGCAACTTTAAGAAAATGGAAGAAGTATATGACTAGAGTACTAAACAACGCATAAGAGATAAAGTATATCTAGATGTTATGTAATTCTCAAATTTCTTAATATAAGTTCTTGTCTTCATTCTCATTTTCTCACAAATGGCAAAGTTTTAGGAGGTTAAGATGCACACTTTACACATTAGCTAAATAGTAACATAGCTTGATAATGTTGCTTTCTATGTAGCTGCCCAACAATTTAACTATTTGTATATTTTGATTTAATGTTGTAATATTAATTTGGTTTGTACCATCACTATGGTATGTAAGGACTTCATTAATAAGTGTTTTTTTTTTTAATTTTTTTTTTATCTTTATTATTTTAAGAAATAAATTTGATGGTTTGGTATTTGAACTTTGAAGTATGCATTTTGTGATTGTTCTCTGTTCTTGTAGGATAGCAACATTGTATTTGTGAGTTGATTTTTGTTTATGTATTATGATAGGCTATTCTTGGTTCTTTGTTCTAATTTTTTTTGTTTCCTGTCTACACTTTGTGGTATATATTGTAACTGCTCTATATAATTATACGAGCACAACATTGAATAATATTTGTCAGGTCATTGAGACAGTAACTCAAGTATGACATTTCAATTAAGTTTTAAAGTAGTCAGTTGTGTATAATCCTGGTTATAAGGCAGTACAAATTGCCTGAAATCCCGTTTTTAGCAGTTTCGTATACATTGATTACAAATGACTCATTACATGTACGGAAATTTTTGGACTGATGATCAAGCTATATACTTTTCAGGTAGAAGCAGCTGCAGACCTGCTGAAACCCATTAATGTGGGGCCATCATCCTCCCTTAAAGTTGGTCAACAGTGTTTGGCAATTGGAAATCCTTTTGGTTTTGATCACACTCTCACTGTTGGTGTTATAAGTGGATTGAATCGTGATATCTTTAGTCAGACCGGAGTTACAATTGGTGGAGGTATCCAAACAGATGCAGCAATTAATCCTGGGAATAGGTATGTCATCTGATTTCTTCCTCCATCTAACCAATTGATAAAGATTTTTTTTTTTACCATGTTACTTGAAAATCCTAAAGTCTGATTAAATGCTAGGTCACATGACTTATAATTACTACAGACTGTCTACAGTTCCTCTTTTTTAATTTACATTTATCTTTGTTTTTGTTTGTTTGGTTATTTATTAATTTTTTCAATTTCCCATCAGTTCTGTTGACCAGTTTGTTAACTGATTTCTAATTTTTGTTTGCGTATATGACGACAGTGGAGGACCTCTGCTAGATTCAAAGGGCAATTTGATTGGGATAAATACAGCTATATTTACTCAGACTGGTGAGCTTTTCCTTCTGATTAACAGATATGGTATTTCAATATTTTATTTAAACATCAACTATCTTTAAGCTTCAAGCCTTAAAGTTATTGTACTGTTAACTATTGAATCTGTGAATGTAGCTTATGAATTGAGCTACTTGTTCAGCTAATCTTCCTACCACTGTTTTAACTACTGCATCCCTTAATAGGCTTTCCAAACTTTTGGGTACACAAATTTAAGAGAGTAAGAATGATTAAGAAATTGAGTCAAAGGAAGTATTTTATCCTTTTCTAATGGAGAAGATATGTTAGGAAATAAGGGTGTAATTGTGTTTGATTAATGCGGAACAAGTCAATGAAAAATAAGAACGTGAAAAGCAATAAAGAAGATAAACTAATAACACAAGGATTTACGTGGTTCGGTCAAATTAGACCTACATCCATGAGTGGAGGATTCGAGAGCTTCTTCACTATAATAGAGAAAGGACGAGAGAATAATACAAGGAGTCCTAAATTTAATGACTTAAAAGGTATGATTTTATTGATCAACTAAAGGGTCCTTTAATAACTTAAGGAAACCCTAATAAAAACCCTAAATTGTTTCCCAAGTATACTCAAATAGCCGTCATAGAAAAGATATAATTTTAGAAAATATCCCATAAACTATCCTAGAAGAACCGAATTACCGAGCTATAGCTTGGCAGCTAGCTCAAGCTTGCCGCAAGTCTTCATCGGGCCGAGCTCAAAACCTCGTCGCAACTTTCTAGCTTTGTCCATAACTTTCTCGTTACTTATCGAATTTGGGCATATGACTTTAAGAGATAGAAACAGAAATGAAGTTATTCGCAAGAAAGTGGGTGTCGCAAGCATTGCAGACAATAAGGGAAAATCGCCTTTCGGGCATGTAAGATAGAGACCCCGGGGTGCCCCTGTACGAAGAGTGGAAGAGTGGGATCATTGAGAGGTTAAACGAGGTAGAGGGAGATCGAAAATTACTTGGTTGGAAGGAGTTAAGAAGGATATGAAGCATTTGGATTTGCATGAGAATGAGGTATTTAATCGTAAGGGATGGAATATGAAGATTTTTGTGGATGTGTAATACACTAAGGTTGATTTCACTCAATAATAAGAGAAGGACTGATTTTTCATTGAACTTATAAATGGAAGGGATACAAAGTAGTAGCTTGAGGCTACAAATCTCCAAGCAACTTGAGGTTGAAACTCTCCAAAATTTCCTTACTAATCTCTGAATACCTTCCTTGATTCACATACTACAATACTTATACTAAGATTGCAAATGGTCAAAGCTGACCTTAAGGCTAAACATGTGAGTACTTAGCACAATTAGAACAACCATGAAAAAACATACTAAAAACTAGTTGCTGACTTTCCTTCTCTTCTTCTTAATTGATTTTGTCTTCTACTTAATTAGAGTTGCCTTGCCTTTGAATTACTCCTAGCTGCTGCCACCCTTTGTTGTTGTTGTTGGTCTTGGTGCTTGACTTTCCTTCTAGCATAGACCCGAGTAGGCTGTGGTTGACCCGGGTTCATCACATTACTCCCCACCACAAGTTTCACCTTGTCCTCAAGGTGAAAGGACGGAAAACGATCATCCAAGGCATAGAACTCTTCCCATGTTACTTTGAATGTTAGCAAGTTAGCCCATCGAATCAACACTTCCACGATCATTGCATTACCTTCCCTCTTCTTGCGAACATCCAACACCACTTCTGGATTAGCCACGTACTCTAACTCTGGCGTTATCTGCTATGGAATGGTTGGACTGGTTTGACAATCTTCCATGGCCTTCTTTAATTGTGAAACATGGAAGGTGGGGTGGAGTTTGCAATTTGCCGGCAGCTCGAGTTTGTAAGCCACCTCTTCGATGCGTTGTAGGACTTTGAAAGGCCCATAGAAATGAGCCGCTAGTTTCTCGAAAGGTCGCTTAGCCAATGATTTTTGGCGATAGGGTTGGAGCTTGAGATAAACCTTCTCCCCTAATGCGAACGGTTCATCTCGCCGGTGCTTATCCGCATTTTCGTTCATTACTTGTTGGGCTTGAAGTAAATTCTATCGCAATTCAGCTAGCATACAATCGCGTTCTTGCAAATGTTCTTCTAGCGGTCCCACCGAAGTCTGACCTTTGCCCACTCTCCATAATTTGGGCGGATCGCGGCCATACACCACCTTAAAAGGGGTGGTCTTGGTGGCTGAGTGTGGTGAGGTATTATACACGCTCTCGGCCACGACAGCCACTGAGCCCACTTCTTGGGCTCGGTTTTTCAGACTGGCCATCGGTTTGGGGGTGATAGGATGTGCTCCTCTTCAATTGAGTGCCCTGTAACCGAAATAATTCCCTCCAGAAATTGCTCATGAAGATTTGATCCCGGTCAAAAATAATGGAAGAAAATCCGTGCAATCTAACAATTCCCTTCACAAAAGGGTGTTTCAACCCAATAAAGTGCCCGTATTTTGAAAATCGGTCCACCACGACTATTATCGCATCCCCGCCGTGAGATGCTGGAAGACCCTCGATGAAATCCATCGAAACGTCGTCCCAGATCGGGTTGTAATAGGCCGGTCGATTGTCTCTGGGACAACACCTTGTTGCGCTGGCACATGTCATAGTGGCGCACGTACTCCCTATGGCCTTCCACATCCTCGGCCAATACCACTCGACCGCCACTCTAAGATACGTCTTCACTTCGCCGTCATGGCCACCGGTTGGGGAAGCGTGGTACTCATGGAGTAATTTTGGAATTACAGTAGCAAACTTGGGTAAAACTATTCTGCCTTTGTAAAACAATCTTTCACCCTCTAAAGAGAATCCATTGGGCCCAGAATTGGTGGACTCAAGGCCTTTTTTAATCTCAGTCTGCCATGGATCACTTGCAAGCTCGTGGTCCAATTCGTCCCAATTAATTCCTTGAATGTAACACATAGCTTTCAACTCACGCCCCATTCTAGAGAGTGCATTTGCCATTCGGTTCGAGGCCCCCGGCCGATATTGAATCTCAAAGTCGAAACCAACAAGTTTACGCATCTACTTTTGATACTCATTTCCCACCTCTCATTGTTGAGTTATGTAAGTGAACTTTGTTGATCTATTCGTACCATAAATCACCTTCCCAACAAGTTATGTCGCCATTTCACGATTGCCAAACAAATCGCCATAAGTTCCTTCTTGTAGATGGACTTGGCTTGGGCTCACACTCCGAGAAGCTTACTATAGTATGCAATAGGGCGATTTTCTTGCATTAGTACGACTCCAAGGCCATACCCGGATGCATCAGTCCCCAAGAATGAACATTTTGTGGAAGTCGGGCATCGCTAACATCGGGGCGATAGTCATGGCCACCTTCAAATTCTCGAACGCTCGAGTCGCTTCTTCGGTCCACCCAAACGAGTCCTTGGAAGTAAGTAGGCTGGCTACTTGGGCATAATGGGCTACAAATTTTTTGTAGTAGCCCATTAAGCCTAAGAACCCTCTTAATTTTCTCAAATTTCTTAGCTGGCCCATTCAAGAATGGCCCTCGCTTTTTCATTATCCATGGCCACACCTTGCCTTGAGATGACGTGACCCAAATAAGCAACTTCTTGTCTTCCAAACTCACACTTTTTGTAATTTGCATAGAGCTCATGATCTGCCAACTTCTTAAGGACTTGCCGCAAGTGCTCTCGATGATCGTCTTTGTTCCTACTATAAACAAAAATGTCATAAAAAACACTAATACAAATTTTCTTAAGAAAGGCCTAAAAATATCATTCATGAGAGATTGAAATGTTGTCGGTGCATTTGTCAATTCGAAAGGAATAACAAGAAATTCATAATGCCCTTCATGAGTTCGGAAAGCCGTCTTGTGAGTATCCTCGGCCCTCACTCGGATTTGATGGTAGCCGGACTTCAAAGTCCAACTTGGAGAAAATTGCCGATCCATGTAGCTCATCCAATAATTCATCGATCACCAGTGTTTGGTATTTATCCGGACCGTCTTCTTATTAAGGGCGCGATAATCAACGCAAAACCTCCACGATCCATTCTTCTTCTTTACTAACAACACCGGACTCGAGAATGGGCTAGTTGAGGGCTTGATGTCCGGCTTAACATTTCTCGGATCAACTTCTCGATCTCATCCGTTTGGACTTGTGGATAGTGATACGGTCTTACACTTAGCGGATCGCTACCTTCCTTCGAGGTGATTGAGTGCTCACGGCCTCGGGATGGAGGGAGCCCTTATGGTAAATGGAACACATTAGCAAAGTCTGCCAATATGTCTCTTGAGAATTCTGGCGGCCCAACTTCATTTTCGGGCCCAAATCCATATTCGGGCCCAATCTTTTGTTGCTCCACTTGATTCACTTCAACCCATAGCCTTGTGAGTGTTCTGAACATAGCCTTGAGTGTATCATGGCTGCTTCTAGGGACGCATCTCCGGTCAGCATCACCGTCACCGGCACTCCGACTACCAAAAATTTCATTTCATGTGTCTTCCAATTCGTGGTCACCGTCCCAAGCTTTTCCAACCATTGTAGTCCAAGTATAAGGTTGGAATTCCCTAACCCAAGAGGTAAGAAATCCTCCACGATGGTTACACCACCACTCAACTTCACTCGTACTCCTTGGCACACCCCTTTTCCTCTTATGGTGTCCTCATTCCCTAGTGACACTCCGAATTCACCCCCTTCGGTTAGAGGTAGTTTCACCGCATTCATCGTCGTAGAAATAAAATTATTGGTAGCTCCCGAATCTATCATCACTACCACGGCCCTTCCTTTCACCTCACCCCTCATTTCATCGTCTTTGGGTTTGATATTCCCACCACCGAACAAGGCGATACTTCTACGGGTGGTTCGGTATCATCAATGTCATACCCCCCCGTCTCCACCTACTACATCTATCTCTTCTTCCTCACCGCCGGTGCCCACCAATAAAACGCTCAACTCCTTACACCGGAGATCCACTCCCCAATGCTCATCGCGACGGAAGCATAGTCCTTTGGCCCTTTTTTCTTGTAACTCACTCTCGGTGAGTCTCTTTGGTCCATTGCTCACTTTGTGAGAAGGCTGAGAAGGAGTTCGGCCCATGGACCCTTGTGACTCTAGGGCCCGCGACCACGTGGAGCTCGAAATAGCCGTGCCATAGGATTAGATCAGGCCACCACCACTCTTGTTCTAAGAGTTAGTTTGTTTAGGCTGACCAACATTACTAGGCCCAGCTCGTCGAGGACCCACGCCACTTCTTCTTCCCCCACTTACTATGTTACATTCGTTCTTCAATTCTCCCAGCCAAATCCATGGCTCTTTCCAAATTTTCAGGGTTCAAAAGCCTCAAACTCCGCTTGATCTCCTCTCTCAACCCATTGATAAATTGCCCTAACATTAGGCTCTCCGGTATATCCTCCTAGGGAAAAGCCAATTCTATGAATTTCCGCCGCTACCCCTCTACCGACACCGTTTGAGTAACGGACAGCCATTGCTCATGAAGAGTTCCAGCGTTCGATGGTCGAAACTCGCGAAGTAGGCGATCCTTGAGGTCGATCCACCCACCGAATGGTCTCCTCTTGTTTTCCCAGTGAAACCATTGTAGCGCCGCCCCATCCATCGCCACCACTTGTGTTGCACGGACACGCCATTTGGCAGGAGAGTCCACACGTGTGTCGGACACGGACACGTGTGGGACACGGGGCGACACGTGTCCGACACGCAAAAATCCGTGTCCTTTTTTTTTTTTACAAAAATGAAGCTTGGACACGGACCGTGTCTCCCCCAGACACGGCCCGTTTTGCAATGGACACGCACAAATCAAGGCCTAGCTTCCTTACTAATTCCTTCACATTCTCGGTATTTGTCTTTCTCAATTCTCAACTTCCAAGTTCCAAAGGTTGAAACCCTAACTCTCGAAATACCCACACTCCGTCAGCCGTCGATTCACCGTCGCCGACTCGCCGGTCATTGCTCAACGTCGCCGGCGCTGCAACACAATGCTGGCCTGTTGCTCGTGCTCGTGCTCGCGTCAACACAGTGGCCTGCTGCTCGTGCTCTGAGTCTCTGACTGCTTACTCGTGGCCTCGTGCTCGCCTGCTGACTGCTGAGTGCTGAGTGCTCGCCGGTCATTGCTCAACGTCACCACCCACCACTGTCATTGTCGGCCGTCGTCGTATGGTTCTCTACCTTTTTTTTATTTTTTTTTAAATTCAATTAAATTTTTGAAATTCAATTGCTCCTTCATGTATACATTCAATTAATTTAACTTTAATTTGATTAGAATTAGGAACAAGTGTACATAATTGATCCTTCATATATACTGTAATGTAATTTGGGAATGAAGAACTGAAATTTTATTTTTACTGTCTATTGTATGTTTGTATATGATATCATGTATAGCCTGTGTTGCTGGATTTGTTGAGTTGTTGGACTTGTTTAATTGAACTATTAGTACTTATGTTTATTTTATTTATGATTTGTAAAACTATTATTAAGACATGTATTTGGTTTGATGGTTTCTTGATATGTATGCGACTATGTTCGTACACTTTGTTTATTTACTTTGTTTAAACAGATTTGTGTGTTTTGAGGCAAAATATTTAGTTTTTTATTGAACAGGTTGTCAAATTCTTGTTTTTTTTGATATATTATATGCCTTGTTATACGCCGTACCCGTGTCCCCTATTTCAGGATTGCCGTTTTCCCGTGTCCGTGTCCGTGTCCGTATCCGTATCCGTGCAACATAGGCCACCACTGCCGCTGATTTTTTATCATCCTCTGTCAACCTATAAAAATCGAAATACATCCGCGCCCTCATCACCCAATTATCGGGATCCTTTCCTTCAAAGGTTGGCATCTCTAATTTCTTGTGTTTCCAACGTCCGCCGTCTCCGCCACCTTCTTCCGCAGCACGCCATCCTCCACCTTGCCAGCCACCGTCGTCCGGAGGCCGCCACCTTCTGTTCTTCACTGGGGCTGGAACTCGGTTCTCGCCCTGAATTTGGCTGGCCTCCACCTCAAGTTGGATTAGTGGCGGTGGCAGGGGTGGTTGTTGACCGCCTTTCAGACTTCTTCCCGTAGCTTCTCCACCTTCCCTCGTTCTATGGTGGTTTCCGGTGCTGGCAGCCCATAGAACCACCTGCTCTGATACCAAGTTTGTAATAGACTAAGGCTGATTTCACTCAATAATACTCAATAATAAGACGACTGATTTTCATTGAACTGATTAATGGAAGGGATACAAAGTAGTAGCTTGAGGCTACAAATCTCCTAGCAACTTGAGGTTGCGACTCTCCAAATTTTCCTTACTAATCTCTGAATACCTTCCTTGATTCACATACTACAATACTTATACTAAGATTGCAAATGGTCAAATCTGACCTTAAGGCTAAACATGTGAGTACTTAGCACATTTAGAACAACCATGAAAAATCATAATAAAAACTAGTTGCTGACTTTCCTTCTCTTCTTCTTAATTGATTTTGTCTTCTACTTAATTGGAGTTGCCTTGCCTTGAAACTCCTAGCTGCTGCCACCCTTTGTTGTTGATCTTGGTGCTTGACTTTCCTTCTAGCATAGACCCGAGTAGGCTGTGGTTGACCTGGGTTCATCACAGGATGACTAAACGAATTAATCACTTTTGGTTCATGTAGCCGACCTCACTTATTGGATTAAGGCTTTGATTGATTGATTGATAGATATCTCTAGTATGTTTTCGACAAATGGACTGTATATAGGAAAATGAGTTGATTGATCTTCAGAGATGGCATAATTAACATCACTCTACAAAGTTTCAAGTAAAAGGGCTTAATTAACACCAGGGAAATAGAAAATCAGCAAAAACTAACAAAATCGATCTAACCCAATCTGAAACCTTGAAATCAGACATGTTGATTTTTGAACTTATGAACCAAACTCAATTCTTCCTTTATGGTAGATATTCCACACTGTTATAATGTATCATTTTCTTATGAGACACTACTTGGAGTCTTGCATTATAGTTCTCACGCATTTTCCATGCAATAATGGATTAAGGGCCTCAAAATTGGATTTCAAATTACATGTTTTGCTAGAAGTCGGCAAAATTATGCTGGCAAGGCTTCCATATACATATTAACCCCCAAATCTACAAAAAGTCATCCTCCTGTTTTCTACCTAGAACATCAAAAGTTCACCCAGTTAACAATCCTGAAGCTCAAAACTTCACTACATTGATACCCTAATCCAAGAATGAAACCTATGACGTATCAACAAGAATTCAGCAAGACAGCGTATGAAAGTTTGAAAGTTTTCAATGCAGGAATATTAATGATGATTATTATACATACCCAGATAATTAAGGGACATGCCCAAAATATTCTGTGCCTTGAATTAATGGATGATTAAGAGATATACCTAGAAAAAATATTTGAACCTAATAGGAGTTTTTGGTTGCAGGTACATCAGCTGGGGTGGGGTTTGCTATTCCTTCTTCAACTTTACTCAAGATAATACCTCAGTTAATTCAGCTTGGCAAAGTAAGTGACTTTCTCATACGTCTCATGATAATTGAGTTGGATATATTATAATATAGGAATGTGAGTGAGAGAAAGGAAGTCTTACTTTTTAAAATAAAGTAATAGAAAGATAAATAAACTTGTAATTAGTCAACCATCAGTTGCCTGTATTTAGAACTTCTACATGCTGATGATGTGTTGTTGAAGGTTGTTCGAGCTGGTCTAAACATTGAGATTGCTCCAGATTTGGTAGCAAGTCAGCTAAACGTTCGGAATGGAGCTCTTGTGTTGCAGGTTTGTGCATTGAGTTAATTTTCAGCCCTTTCTGATAAATGTTTGAGTATCATTAACTTAGCACTTTCCAAGTTTACTTATTGATAAAGAATTATCATTATCTCTTTTATTTATCAAATGAATAAATGAGGTAATAATTTTAAAATCTACTTGTAGGTTCCGGTGAATAGTATAGCAGCAAAGGCAGGACTACGTTCCACCACAAGGGGCTTTGCTGGGAAAATTATTCTGGGAGATATAATTGCTGCGGTGGACAATAAGCCTGTAAGTTGTTTGTATACCTTTTCCCATTAACTTCATATCCTTTGCAGTTTCATGTTACTGAAGTTCAAGGAAATGTAATCTTGTTCATAAATGCAAGAACCGTCTAGAAAAAAAAGATATTATGTTACGGAACACAGCATTTGAACGCCCTCAAATTGTAAATCGATTGGGCTCTTTTTTAACTGAAACAACTTAAAGAAAAGGGATAAAAGCCCTTTCTTATAGCTGTCAGTTGGGGATATACGTAGTATTATTTTACTAGAAAGTAGTTGCCTAAGGAGAGAACAGATTTTTATTATTTGAGAATGAAATGCTATATGTTACTAGCTAATTACCAAAACATTGGAAGTTACAAACCTTATAGTCTTATTTACCAGTAATGAAGTTTAAAAGCCGTTTTCTGTTGAGAATTGAGATATGTTCCTTTGAAGTAATAGATGTTATGAAGTTCACAATGTGTCTCTTTGAACAAACACTTAACCTTTTTGTCCAATACCCATGCAAAGAATTACTCCAAAGTTGTATTGTTCCCATCCACTTAAAATTAACAATTACAAAATTTCGTCAATATGGCAATATGTAGCCATATGCCAGTGTGTGGCTGCATTATCTCTATTTCATTCAATTTTAACAGCAATATTTTGAAAACGTAATCTTATTACTAGCTCTTTTCAGAAGCAACTGTTTTCCAGACATACCTAAATATTATGAAGGCTATCATTACCAAACTGAAGTATCTCCTTGACTTCTTGCTAAGGTCCTTGGTCCTATTATCTGTTAGTTATCTATAGTTCAGGTGTTCAAGTTGCTGTTTAATTGTGACCATCATCACCAATTCACCATTGTTGTAAGACGTGAACCTATCGTACTTCAATGAAGAATTAGACCACAATTTCTAACATACCAACTATCTCGGCGAAAATAAGTGAATGAAAAGTATCGGTAGAGGGATAGTTCATTAGGTGAAGGAATGTAGAGGAATACTTGGTAAATCGCATGGTTCATGCAGTAGAACAAAATAATGTAGTACTTCATGTGTAATTTATTCTCTGAATGGGCAGGTAAGAAGTAAAGCTGATTTAGTGAGAGTACTGGATGACTACAATATTGGAGATGAAGTGATCTTGAAGATTGTAAGGGATAGTGAAACCTTAGAGGTGCCACTTAAATTGGAGGAAACAAACTCTTGAATTAGTAAATATATTCCTTTTTTTTTTTCTTTTTTTTTTTTTTTTTTTCCTTATGGCATTGGGAGTTTAGATTGAGTTGTAAACCTTATGAATAATGTAAATTATATGAATCTATTGATACTTCCTCTGTTTTCTTTCTTATTGCATATTGTAGCAAATTGTAATTATTAATTTTTATGAATCATACATTTGAGTAATTTGTCGTTAGAAATTCCATGGAGGCCGCTCCAGTTTCTCATTTTGAGAAACAAAGTTCATTTATTGAAGGATTAAAATTGTAATATTACAGGCATAACCACTACTTGGGTATAACCACTATTTGAAATACAGGTTTAGGGGTAAAATAATTACTTCAAGTAGCGGTTATACTGGTAAACAATAAAAAAAAGTTGTATTTATTTACAACTTTGCCATTTGAAAAACTTGGAATTTTTCAATTTCATGACCCTTCAAGCAGGGCTAACCGCCTAACCGGATAAGGGCCTTAAAAAGAGGGATATGAAAAACTGTATAATCCCATTGGATGAGTCAGAAAATAAGAATGGAAGTGTCTTACCAAATTTGAAAATTTTCAGTAGTAATTTACTCAATTTAGGAAAAATGGAATTTATTTTTTCTTCACAAAGTATACGTAATGGAGTAATTTTATTAGAGCAAGCTAAGCTTTATTTTATTTCCATAATAAACAAAAATTGAAACAAAAATTGCAAATCAGATGGCGAATTTGTAATCAAGTGGCAAGTTGCATATCAACTCGGTATTTTTGTTGACTTAATTACATATTATTCACCTAATTAACATCCTGTTTAGGGTTATCCAATACTTAACGAGATATTATTTTCTAGTTCCTTAAAAAAAAATCATTTTTTTTTGGTACTTTAAGAGTGTCTTACTAGACATTTGAATAATAAAATCAATTGATAAGAGTCCATGAATAATAATAAAAATAAATTACAAAAATGCAAAGTTTTTGATACCCAAATAATCATCACAATATATGTCTACCAAATTACTACTCCACTAATTAAGTTAACATCGTTGACAGCATATTCTTAGTAAACAAGTTCTTTGGGACATGAGTAATAAAAATATCAATTATTTTTAGCTAGTGACACCAATGTGGAAATGTGGATTAGAGAGAGTAAGTTGGATTAATGACTCTAATGTGGATTTGCTACATATTGGAGTTAGTAATTTACTTAATTAATCAATTAATACACTGAAAGAAGGAAGATTAAACTTTAGTTTGAAGATAATGACTAAGGTTATGCACGATTTGGTGCTAATCCAAAGGTCAAGGATTGCAAATTGACAAAATTTTTGTCTAAACGAGGAGCTTTAATTTCTGCAATATTTTGAAGTTTACCACACTATTTTTGTTTGTTTTCAGTTTCTCTGACTCCAAGATCATCCTATATTATTAGTTTATGGTTTCACTTTGTCAACTATGTAGCAAACATTAGTTGTTTGTTTAAGCAATGTTCTTGTATAATGTATTGTGTGCAATAGTAGTACTAAAACTACCAAGTATATATCTCTATTTTGCATTGGTTTTAAAACTATTACCGGTATGTAATAGGTTGTCGTACACCTGACAAAAATAAATTCCTCACAAAACCAACTAACAATGTAATCGGATAAGTAGGGTTGAATCCACAGAGAGATGACTATTTAATCTAACCTCTAAGAATTTGGAGATACTAAACTATGTCACGAGTTGGGATAGAAAAGTAGTCTAAATTAAAATAGGAATAAAACAATTAATAAAAAGACTTACGGTTATGGTTCATCATGTTTATAGTTCTAAATCTATCAAATATCAATTAATCAATCAATTCTAGAGCAATTGCTAAGCCTACGGTCGTGTCTTAACGCTCTCAATTCAACATATGTAGTACGGTCGCTAACATAATCAGAATTGCTAATTGTAGGTAAATCTCTAAAAGTACAATCTTTCGATTCAAACTCTTATTAACAATAATTAATCAGACAATTGATTAGATTGCAAAATTGATAATAAAACACTATCAATTAGAGATATGAATAATCAAAATATCAATAACGTCAATCAAAATCCATTGTATAAACATGGATTCCCAAACTCTAGAAATAAACTACTCTGGCATGAAATAAATTATTAATACTAAATCTAATAAAGAAAGCATAATTAAAATAAAGAAATAAAATAACTCTAAGAATTAATGTAACAAACTCAAGAGCAATCCATGGAGGAATTCATGGAATTGCCCAAGAGAAACTACGGCTAAGGCTGTACACCAGTCCAAAACCGGACCGGACCTGAATGGATCGGGACCTGAATCATTGGTTTTTAAGGATCAGAGACCGGATCTGAATCAACAGGTCTGGTTCCGGTCCAAACCTGAAAAATCAGGTCCGGTCCGGGTTTAGACCTGAATAGACCTGATTATTAATTTGATTTTTTTAAAAAAATAAAATAAAAAACCTGCTGGACCTATTTATAGACTTGTTTATGGACCTGTTTAGACCTGCTTATGGACCTATATAGACCTGTTGAATAAAAAAGCAGTGTTACCGGTTTTAGATCCAGACCCAAAAATTCCAAGTTTTACTCGGATCGGGCCTAAAACCTGGAATCATGGGTTCTTAAGGACCGGGACCGGGCCTGATTTAACCGTTCCGGTTCCGATCCAAACAGGTCCAGTTCAGGTCGGGGTTTTCAGGTCTGAGCCAATTTGTGTACACCCCTAACTATGGCTAGAGAGAAAAGAAAACCGAATGTATAAAAATAATAGAAAACCGTAAGGAGAAAATAAATCACCTTAAGTATTTATAATTCCCTAAATTCTCATCTTAAAATAATTAAAGAAAAGAAATAAGAAAATATAAATTACATAAGTTGTCAAACGATTGGACGATAGAAGATGGCGTGGCACGAAGATGCTTGATGAAGACGGCCAACCGACCCAGGAACCAAGCCTTAACGAGCAGCCATGACGGTGCATACTTGCGTTAGCTCATGGACTTGGGAAGCAGTGAGCTATCGCTCGCTGGTCGGGGCTGCTACTGCTTTTGGCATATGCGAGCTAGCTCGCGAGCTCTCGCTTACTCGTTGTTGGGCGTAACGTCAACTCCACAGGCTTGTAACTTCTGATTCATGAGTTGTATATAGGCGTATGAACTACCGTTGAAAAGCTCTTCAAGTCTAGTTTCTAACGCAACTTGAATCAATCCAATTTGATCTCTAGAACTCAATTTATGATCAAAAGAATGAAAAAATGTCAGTTTTGCCACTTTGTAAACCATCGTTTATTTTGTTTCTAACTCCAATTCATTCCCGAAAGATGCATAGCGGCCCTTGAGGATTCTATAATCATTCCTCATGCTTATAAATCTCGACCTAAGCTTCCACAAACACATATCTTTCATTGAGCGACCTCGATTCAGCGACGTTTCATCCTTTCATTGTCTGATTCTTCCAAAACTAATCCGAAAGCGTCCAAATAGTTATGAAAACTACCTCAAACATTAAGAAAACAAATGAAGCATAATACAACACAAAATGGACAACTTATGCACTTGCGACCTAAGAAGCGACAAAAAGTCCTAAAAAGCAACTATAAAACTAGCATATATGTGTCTATATATTGTAAATATATATAATTCATCAGTATGAGAAGTTTTATTAAATGTAAGATCGTTTACATTGATAGTGTTCAACAGTTATACTGTTAAAACTGATAAAGATAATAGCGATATTCATTATTGGGTAGCTTACAAAAGTTATGGATGAAAGCAGGTTATCGCGTATGCATGTATGTTAAAAGATATTTGAATAAAAATAATTTATGGTATTGTGATTTTGTTACGCCAATAGCTTTTCATTTAGAACCACTAATGTCATTGGAGGTTTTAACCTTTAAGCCTCAAAAGAGGAAATAAATAAGGGTCTCCAAAGGATCCTATGTGAACAATATGTGTGAAATTTGTTTATCTAACACATAAATAAGGAAATAATTTATGTTTATTTAAATTTTTAAATAAGATCGTCTTATCATCATAAGACCACCTTGTAAGTAGTTAGGCTAAGAGAAGAGAGAAAATAGGATACATATAGGATCACATGTCTACAATGACTCACAAAAGTGGTCTTTATGATGGTAAGGCGGTCTTACAGAAATGTTTTCTCTCTCTCTCTCTCTTTTTTTTTTTTTTTTTTCTCTCTCTTTCAAGAATGATTTGAATTGGCTTTGAAGTGAAAATGAAGAATGCTGGTGTAATTTCTTGATTGAATTTTTTTGTCCAATTAATTTAATGGTTATTTTTGGATCCTATTTTGTCATATATTTGTCTTGAAAGATAACATTCATTGTTTGGAGGATATGATCAATTACTTGAATGATATCTTTAAGTATCTAAATCGGATGATATTATTCATTATTTGGATAATATGATCAATTATTTAGATGATATTAGTAGTCATGGCTGGTTGATATCTGTAGACACCTGAATATGTCTGCCCAAAAACCAGATCCAGTGATGAGTATCTTTTACATCTTTGATTAACGAGTTCGGTAAAGAGTTGAAAAGTCTCGTGAAGTTTCCTTAAGCCTTGACCATACCCCTAACCTTTCTTAAAATGTTTTTAATCCAAAGTCATTCTTTTCGGGTCTTTAAACCCAAAATCATTCATTTCATGTCTTTAAACCCAAAATCATTCATTTTGTGTCAATCATTCATTTCGTTTCCAAATCATAGAAACATCCAAACCAGATTATTTTGGTCCAAAATCCCGGTGCAATTATTGTTTAGTTGGATGGAGCTTGAAAAAGAGCTTTCCAATGATATATTATAAGCCCAAATTTGACTCAAAATGAATAAGTTATGGCCAGAATACTAAACCGAGCCCAAACCAAGCCATTCTGATTTTCGTGCCTCATAATTTAATCCAAATCTTGGATGGTTGGATAGCCCTTGAAATTAGCTTTCCAATGATATATCATAATCCCAATTTCAATTAGAAACGAAAAAAATATGATTAATTAAAATACCAAACTCTATCCAAAACTGACACTATTCCACTATTGCGAATTGCAATCATATCTCAAATTCTACAAAAGATATCAATTTGATTCTAATTGGGTTGGAAAGTAGACTTCCAG